ACCTAGGGGTGGAGGTCGGGGATCTCTTGCCATTTTTTTAGAAGAAGTAGTTGCAGAATTGCCAAAGCTCATGCGTACGGCCGCGGGCGCAGGCCTCGGCGCTACGCGCCTTGGCCTGCGCCCTTGGCCTTGATTCATGGTCAGGTTTCACTTGCGAACTGTATATTAGCGCGACACCACCTAGGGGTGGAGGTCGGGGACGTGGTGGACGGATCTCTTGCCATTTTTTCCAATTATTTACTCCTCAGGTTAAGTCGTCCTTTGATGCTCGTACTCGTAGACTGTATATAAGCGCGATACCACCTAGGGGTGGAGGTCGGGGACGTGGTGGCAAGAACTCTTGCCATTTTTCCCTTGGCCTTGAAGAAGAAGAATGTTTTGAATTGTTTTCAGGTTGTAGCTGTTTAGTTTTGTCACTCCTTTACTGACCCGCGTACAAACCTGTTGTCAACATCGCCATTAGCTTGTAGAATACTGGATTGCTTACTACATGTAGCCACCTTTGCTACCTTACATCATAGTACTTGTATGTTTATTACATCAATGAACAGAACTGGGCATGAGGTCATGTCTACAGGCATGCCCAATCTACTGATGATTGTACACCTGGTTTCAACCATGTACTTACTCTACTCTCCTCCAAAGCCAAGGACGGCAAGGTCCTGAGATGAACTGAGATGGCAACGGAAAACTGACGCAGACCCCTGCACTGTATAGCTAGGCTGACAGGGTGCGGGCCTTTATCGGCTCATCAAGGCCACCGCGGGAACGTCGCTCATTGGCTACAACCATGGAAACGGCACTGTAAAAACCTGAAGAATGGAATCAATCATGAGTACGAAGGCAAGACCAGCGCATACATACCTGACGAGCGAAGCTCGAAGGGTATGTATTCGCTGGTTGCGCCTGAGTAGTATTCTTAGTAGGAATGTTTTGATTGCATTTTATGACCTGCACCCAGCGGATCTAATTATTTTGGTCTAGTTGTTGACACGTTAGGAATGCCTCCCAGCCGTGTATTTTTCATGTACCAGTACATTTCCAGGACCGTCGGCGCGCCCGAGTAATTAGTTAGCTGGTGTTGGAGGAACATTGTCGGGTGTATTTCGGGCTCTGCGCTGTGTTCGCTTCAGAGCTACGGAAGATGGTAAGCTCACCACAGCTCACCTTATTTCTCAGTGACCCAAGGACGATCTGGTGGGAAGAGTCCTGACTCGACGCGGCTCTTTTTGTCTTCATGCAGCCTCTGCAGGACAGCTCGTCTCTCTTTCGCTGCTCCAATACACAGTCTCGTTTCTTCCTCTCTTGTCTTGCACGTAAGCATACCTATCCTTGACTAGTTTGGGTTTGACACGTAGATATGGCGAATTTCTGCCCACCCAGCGCTTCTCAGGGCAAAGAACACGTTATACGTGCCGTGCTAAATGCATCGTGATTGGCTTCTACCTTTAGGCCTTGACGGATTATGCTAGCATACATGTTCGCATATTTCCTACCAAAATCGAATAATCGCATAATTTGAGGCAAATTGCATACAAATCGCATAAAAATGGAATAATCCACCTGTTCGCATCAAATTCCATACAGTTGTACATGTTCTACAAGTACAAGTAGATGCACCAGGAAGTTGTAGCTTTACGACTCCCTTGATAACATGTCCAGTCCACTACAATCAGTGATGGTCGTAGCTAGGTCGGACGGTGTGTTGACCCCGTTGAACGTTTGCTGCTACAGTACAACGCCCTCCACAAAAAAATTCCCCTGCTATTTTGGACAGAACCATTATGCATTAGCAGCATATGTGAGCATAATGCGGCATAATATGATAACTTTTAACATAAAAATAGCATAATTCTGCATTTTTTCAGCAATGCGAAAAGCAAAATTTCACGAAAATATTAGCATAATCCGTCAAGGCCTATCTACCATGGTGATTGTCATGTGACATAATAAAACAATGAATAACTGTGCTGACCTACATGTAGTTCCCAATCAAAGTAACGCCAGCCGGTATGAGATGTAGGAGCCCGTTGGGAAGGCTTGGGTGAGCTGTAAAATCGTGTATGATTCTCACAGCTCAACATGTGTGCTGTAGTTATTGCGATGGTTTGCGTCGATGAACGTGAGTCCTAAAGCACCGTCCATGGCCCCTGGGGTGGACATTTCTAGACTTCATTTCTCAAATTTCTTCTCAAACGAGAAAGCTTGGAAGCTCAGGGCCCTACGCTATGCTTTTTTGCCTTGATGACCTAGACAAAAAAAAGCATAGGGATGTTATAAATTCTTTAACCCTTTTTAAAGAATTCCTTTTTTTAAGGTGGCAGACTACCCAAAAATTCGCTGAAAAATCGAATTTGTAAATTCATATTGAGTGCTACGTCAGTTGAAAGAGCATGAGTAGCTGCAAATTCTCTGAAAACTGTGTCCCGATCTGACCAGCCGTTCAAGAGTTATGGCCGAAAATGTGCCCTTGCAAGGAAAGATTTTTTTGTTGCATGCTGTCATTTGTTGGCAGCACTGTATTTGAATGTGAGCAGACCGTGCGCAACTTGTCGTATTATGGAAACACGCGAAAGTGTGCAGAATTTTGCCCCAAGTCCAAAAAAGTCCGAACAATCACGTTAAAAAAATACGTGCAGCAGGACTTTTGCCAGCACCCTCGTGACGTTGCAGATATGTGGCTTGATTATTGTAGTTGACGTTGATTTAGTGACTTTGGCAAGTTTGAGTCGTGTCAAGAAGTCAGGTAGGATTCAGTACTAGGCAGTAGTGAAACGTGAGTGGCAGTCTTTGCCGGTTTCTGAGGGCATCCTGGATTTGGTGTGTAGCGCTGTGGAAATGGCTTGCTGTGGAGGTCCCAGCACTGGATGTTGTATCAAAGGTACGACCTCGTAGCACGTGCTAAACCTAAAAAAAATCAAAATTTGACTTGGGTCTGTGGGAGTGTGTGAGAGAACGCCCACTCGTTTCCTGGATTCGGTGTGCAGCGCTGTGGAAATGGCTTGCTGTGGAGGTCCCAGCACTGGATGTTGTATCAAAGGTACGACCTCGTAGCACGTGCTAAACCTAAAAAAATTCAAAAATTGACTTGGATCTGTGGGAGTCCGTGAGAGAACGCCCACTCGTTCCGTTGTGACAGATTCCAGGGCCACGTTGAGGGGCCCTACCCCACCACCCATGGCTGCTTCTGGACTTGTTTTAGGTTTGGGTCCCGCACACGGACAGAATGGGCACGAAAATGTGAAAAAATGTAAATGCATTTGTTTAGTTCCTGGGTGGCTCGCACACCGTGGCACTATGCCGGAAATTTGAGTTTTTCCGCCCTGGAAAGCCTGTCAGTGAGGCGCAAGAACTTGTAAATCATGTCCTGAGGGCCAGCATAGTGGCAGGAGTGTGTGGTCAAAATGTCACTCAAATCCACTGAGAAACACCAAAGTTACGGTCAACTGAATGCCATATGAAATTTATGGGTAGGCTGCCCCCTTAACACGAACTCCTGAGGATAGGTAGAGAAAGACTTGGTAGTGTCGTTGCTGTATGCGCGTTGCACTTCAGAAAATTGATACGAGAATATATTAGTAGGTAAACTGGGTGTGAAATGCCTTGCAAGCACACAAGCCTACACATACATGCGATCAAGAGTAGATCAACACGAATGTGCAACTAGGGGATGGGTTGGCCTTGGGCGGAATTTTTTGTGAACGTGATCTTTTTGACGACGCACGCGCTGCGAGTCTTTAGCCTAGTTTAGGAAAGGTTTTACTTGTGCACTTGGCCGGGCTTTGCATTGCAAGGTCAGTGCCCAGCACCTGCTCTCACCGTGACTGGTCTGCGGCAAAATGCACGTTTTTTTCTGAAAAGGTGACGTTACCAAAAATTCCGCCATGGTTGGGCGTATCTGCAGATTGTGCAGAAGAGATCCGGAGTTGCGCACTCTTGTTTATCTACTGTCGATGCTATAGACAAACACAAAAGCTAAGAATGTAATGTATGCACACATTGTTGGTTGGTTTGTTTGGTTGTTTTTTATTAGTTCAGTTCGTTGCCTCAACAGTACAAAGTATGGGGCAGTTCGTTGCCTCAAAAGTACAAAGTACAAATATCAAGAGGGACGAATGAAAAGTGTTATGGAGGATCACGAGATCCGCCGAATCCGCTATCGGCAATCCACAACAACAAGGCCTCGGAGTGATGGAGAACGCCCCTTCTATTCAGTTTCGAACTGCTAATAATGTCCATGTAGACACTCATACAACACACGCCTTTCGATAGGTGGTGTTCTTCGATCTTTTCACACAAGTACAAGAAAATAACGTAACACCGACTCTAGCAACAACTGCAAGAATCTGAATGCTTCATCGCATCATCATCTGATGGAATAATGGGAGCGCAGCGATTCTTATGGTAGGTTGAAAGCACACAGCCAGCACATCAGGAGCCAAACACAGACGAAAGGAAACAATTGGAATAAAATACAGTGAACAATTCCGCTGCACGGTTAACAAAGAAAAACCGCAGATAACCGCTCAGACAATCACCGGGTGGTCGCCGTCTGAGGCACGTCAATGCACAAAGGTAAAAACGGCCAATATTGCAGAAGTATTCAATATGGCAGGAAACTACTACTAACCAACTCTCCGTCCGTGTCCAAACACCTACATTTAGAAGCTACCTGGAATACTGTGGCTGTGCTATTATTAGAATACATACTGAATGACAATGCACAACAGAAACTAGCAGTGTCCTCCTGAACATCCTCCCCCCGCCATATGCTCCCAGAGTAGCATGTGGCAACTACTGATTTGCTATGCCAAAAATGCATATACAGCGTAACAAACGTGCACCGAGAATAATGTGCAGCAGCACCGCATGCTGCAACGAAAGAGTATGAATAGCTATTTCATGTTTTCAGCAAGGCACACAGCTTGCACAGTGTTCCTCTTGGTATGATACATTCAGCATATCGGCTACTGACTGTAGTGGTACCTCACTAGATGACTTCAGCATTCCAGTGGGCACACACGGGAGATAGGCCGTTTGTATTGCTGATTACCGGCTTGCAGCTTCGCAACTCGCACATGGCCGTCTGGACCTGGGTAAACTTCGATTATCCTTGCGAGACGCCACTGACCTCTAGGTGTTGCTGGGTCAATCAGCAGGACAACGTCCCCTACCGCCAGATCTCGGCGCACGTTCAGCCATTTCTTCCGTTGGTTGAGCGTCGGGACCCATTCTCGCAGCCATCTTCTCCAAAAGTGCTCCACTAGCATCTGCACATGCCGCCATCGTCGTTGTACTGATCTCCCATCGTCATTTTGTGCGGCCGAAACAAGCTGTCCTTCAGATCGTCCATGGAGGAAGTGGTTGGGAGTCAGCGGGCCAGGATCAGAGGGATTGGCTGACTGATATGTCAATGGCCTCGAGTTGAGAAGAGCTTCAGCCCCGGATAGTGCAGTGACAAGCTCTTCATCGGTCACTTGAGCATCTCCGAGGATACGTCGAAGAGCCTTCTTGGCCGCCTTGATCATAATCTCCTGAACTCCGCCGAAATGCGGTGCTAGCGGTGGGTTGAAGGTCCACTTTATCCGCTGACTGGCCATGGTCTTCTTCACCTTGTCGTTGTACACATCTTCTCTCAGCTGCCAATCTGCACTGACAAAGTTGCCGCCATTGTCCGAGATGACCTCAAATGGCCGTCCTCTACGATTGACCATACGGCTGAAGGCGTTCAGAAACGAATTAGCATCTAAGGCATACGCCATTTCGAGGTGAACAGCTCGTGAGAGTAGACAAGTAAACAGACACACATACCGCTTGCGTCGCTGCTTGCCCCGACCTTGGACGGTCTCAAATGGGCCTCCGTAGTCCACTGAAACTCTGGCAAAGGCCCTCAGCGGCGTGCTGAGTCGAATTGCTGGCAATGGTGCCATCTGTTGCTCTGCTGGACTAGCCTTGTGTCTACGGCACACCATGCATTTCTTCTCCCACTCTCGGATCTCCTCTCGGGCTGCTTCCACCAGGTATCCTTGCGACAATTCCGCCAAGGTTTCGTTGGTACCGCCGTGCTGACGCTGCTCGTGAAAGTGCTTCACAATGAGACCTGTCACTGGATGCCGCCTCGGCAGGATGACCGGGAACCGTGTGTCGTACGGAATCCAATCAGCTAGTCCGGTTCGGCCATCACATCGTACTAAACCGTCAGCATCGAGTCTCGGGCTCAGCTTGGCAAGCCTCGAGCTACTCGGCAGTTGCTTTCGGTCACGTAACAGCTTGATGTCGGGCCCATATGCTTCGCTCTGAGCTACATGGGTGATGAACTTCTCGGCGTCTGCAATCTCGTCAGCTGTCAGTTCACCAGCCAAACGACCTTCCTTGCGGCAGTTGTTGATGAAGCGGCTGACCCAAGCTTGCACTCGAACAAGCTTCGTCCAACTAGAGAAACGGAATGGCTGCACTGCTGGCTGATGTACCGTGATAAACGAGCTCTCCTGCGTGGCTTTTCGGATCTCATCCACCGCTGGGCTGCATTGCTCGTTAACTGGCATCTCTGGCCAATCTTCTTCCCTGGTCAGAAACGCCGGCCCTTCCCACCATAGGCTAGCATGTGCTAACTTCTCAACACTCATGCCACGAGACAGAATGTCAGCTGGGTTCGACTTCGACGGCACATAACGCCACTGTCTTGGAGCTGTACTTTCTTGAATGGTGCCGACTCGGTTGGCCACAAATGGCTTGAATCGCCGGCTGTAGCTCCGGATCCACTGAAGCACGGTGCAACTGTCGCTCCAGAAGATTGCTGTGCTGATGTCCAACTGCAAGACACGGGTCGTCGTCAAGGCTGCTCGGAGTCCCACCATGGCAGCCATTAACTCTAGACGTGGAATGCTGACCGCTTTCGTTGGTGCTACACGGCTCTTTGACATGATGAAGCGGCACGCCGACGTCCCGTCATGACGTGTGGTGCGAGCATAGATGACTGCACCATAGGCTGTACTCGATGCATCACAGAAGATATGCAGCTGAATCTTACTGTCTGTAGAAGCAGCTAGGCACCGTTGCACCTTGATCTCGTCGAGATGGCACAGTTCTGAAAACCACTGCTGTGCGCTCTCTGCTATCTCCGACGGAGCCGGCTCGTCCCAGTCTGTGCCTGCAATCCAGCAGTCTTGCAGTAGCGTCTTGGCTCGAATGATGAACGGCGAGATGAAGCCCAATGGGTCGAAGACTGTGGCTATCTTCCGCAGTAGGGCTCTCTTCGTCATTCCATCTGGGAACTCCGGTGCTGTGTAGTGAAACGTGAAGTGATCTTCGGCTGCCTTCCATGCCACTCCCAGGGTTTTCACTGCTGGCAGTTCTGTTGACGACAATTCGATCTGCGAGGCGCGATCTTCGGTTGGAATATCGGCCAGGACAGTTGCGGAGTTCGAAATCCACTTCCGAGGCCGCATCTTTGCCATACCCCAGAGCTCACGGAGCTCTCGATACAGCTTACGCCCGTCTTCCTCACAGTCAACACTATCCATGGTGTCGTCCATGTATGTCGATGCCAGGATTGCATCCGCTGCCAGAGGGTGCGTAACTGCATGCTCTCGCGCTGTTTGCTGCGCCACATATTGAGCTAGGAACGGCGATGCATTGATCCCGAAGACGAGGCGATTGAACTCGTAGTGCTGCACATCAGCGTCTGGCCTGTCCCGCCACAGAAAGCGATGATACGGCTTGTCTTCTGGTGCTAATGCCACTTGTAGGTACATCTCAGAGATGTCGCATCCGATCGCAACTGGTTTTCTTCTAAACCTTGTCAGGACGTCACAGAGGTCTCGTTGCAGCCTTGGCCCCGGGTTGATTGCATCATTCAGACTCAGTCCACGGTAGTTAGCTGCTGCGTCGAATACTATGCGAACTTTTGTTGTGGTCTTCTGTGGCCTTACGATTGCAAAGTGTGGCAGATACCAGCACTGATCTTGTTCCGTTTCTGCTGCACCAAGCTCCCGGATGTAGCCTTTGTCCTCGTAGCTCTTCAGCACATCTCGGTAGGCCACTGCAACTGTGCTATCTTTTTGCAGGCGGCGTTCTGTGCTTGTCAGCCGTTTCCTGGCCATCACAATGTTATTCGTGAGCTCGACTTTCCTGCTGTTCCATGGTATGCTAACCTGGTATCGTCCATCCACCATCTGTATAGCCCGCTGCACTGTCTTGAGCGCGCTCTCATCCTCGGCTGATCGTATGCCAGGCTCCTGAAGCCCATCACTCATGCCATAGCGCTCTACCTCCCAGAAACGCTGTAGCGTTGCCTCAAGTGATGTCACAGATGGGCCGCCGTAACACAGGAAAGACTGGCCGTGTAAGGCCTCTTGGTGCGAGTCTGTGTCCGCTGCATGTACTTTGCCAACGCATGTCCATCCCAGCGGTGTTTGACGTGCTATTGGTTGTCCGGGAGCGCCACTAATGTCTGGACGGGACATCATTAGCTCTGCATTGTCGCTTCCAATCAACAGTTCGATGACGTTGGGCTTGTGCAGTGCCGGGAAGGGAATATCCCGGAGGTGACCATACTTCTCAGCCTCTTGCGACCAGTCCACAGGTTGTAGGTCTCCGGTTACGTTCGTTGTGGTGAACGCTGTCACCGATTGCTGATACGAGTTATCCATACTAGCGATGGTAAAGCTGACCGGTGCTGTCATGAAGGTCTCCACCTTCCCATTCAATGTACTGACTGTCGACCGTCGCAAAGTTCCACTGATACCGAGCTGGCCAGCCACGGCTGCGTTGATGTAGCTGGTTGTACTAGCATCGTCCAGTAAGGCATTCACCGTGACTTCCTGTGGGCCGTTGCGTAGCATCACTGGCACAATCCGTAGTGCCACCTTGCTATACGAGTGAGCTGCCATTGTCGCTCCAGCTGTTAGCTCCCCCTCAGTAACAGCCTGCACTGCGTGACAAGAACCATCTACTTCGCCTCTCCGGTTCTTACTCTCGGCATCACTGGGTGTATCCTTGGCTTGGCCACTAGACGGCGTGCCTTTCTGCGCACCACCCTTCGTAGCGTGGAGGAGACGATGATGATTATCCTGGCAGCCGTTTACTCCACATGTCCAACCACGCTTGCATTCACCACCTCGGTGTCCAAATGCCAAGCAGCGATAGCAGAGATTTGCTCGCCGGGCCTCAGTCCATCTCTGTACGTTGTCCATCTCCAGGAATGCCTTGCACCGCCAGATACCGTGCTCTCCTTCGCAAGTGGGGCACTTCGGCGACTTCTGCGGTTTCTGCGGGGTTGAGCTGGTGCTGAAACTGGCATAGGTTCGGGCCTTTTCACTGTTGCCGCTGGCATTCGTGGTCGGCTTGCTCCATCTGGGTTGCCGGGACCGCGTCATCCCTCGTACTGTCTCGGTTGCCGTTACGAGGAACTCCGCCTCTTGGGTAGCCCACTCTAGCAGAGCGAGAACCGACTCTTGCTTCCGTTGCTCAAATAGCCACCGCTGATATTGGGCGACGAGCTTCTCAGACAGCTTCCGTAGCAGGTTCATGTAGAATGTTCCGGCCTGAAGCTCAGTGAAATGACCAGCATCTTGCAGATTCACTGTAGCGACTTCCAGTAAATCTGCGAAGCGTTCAAGCTCCCTGGGGTCGTCTCCGGAGATGCCGGTAAACCGAGCCAGCTCCTCCACATACATTGCGACTTGACGGCGCTTGCCGCCGAACTTCTTCTCTAGCCGTGCCTTGGCTGTATCATAGCCTCTCTGCGTGTAGCCTAGATTGGCGACGGCTTGCAACGCGTCCCCGCCCAGAAACTGCTTCATCTGGAGGAACTTGTACTCTGGAGTAGCCAGTGACGAATCAACACAGGCAATGAAGGACGCCTTCCACTCTTCATACCTCCTCTTGTCTCCTGTGAAAGTTTCTATCCATACTCTCTTCATCTGCGTCCATGGCTCATGTCCAGGCGGTGGAGCAAACGCTGGTGGCGGTGGTCTTGCCCTGGGCATGGCAGCCTGAAAGTGCTGATGGCCTCCAAACTGCGAACGAGACGCTGCAGGCTGTAGGACTGGAGCGCTACCTGCATAGGGTTGACTAGTAGTAGTACTGGCACTGACTGCTGACACCGGCGCACGTAGGCTGTGGCCTGTCCAAGACGCAGCCGCGGGTACGCTCGTTCGACTACTACTACTACTTGGAAGGTTCGGAACTGACGCTGGCGCGCTGGCTGTGGTCAGCGTAGGCGCTCTAGCACTGATGCTAGTGGCTGTGATCGATGGCGATCTTCCGGAAGCGAGTACCGTGGTTGTCGAACTATTGACTATGTTTGCACTCACCGTTGACATGGTTGAGGGCACTGACGCTGCTGATGCAGCTCCGCTAGCCTTCGAAGCTAGCAGTGATGTTTGGCTCGCGATGTCCGTTGCTCCTTGGCTGTAGCTGGCGAAACCCTGGTGTTGGCCAAGTGACTCGGCGCGCGTGTCTCGAGTCTCCGAGTCGGGGGAGTCCGAGTGCGCTGCGAATGACTGACGCATCCATGGATCTTCTTCCTGTAACGCAGCTAGTGGTCTCTCCCGATATCTGTACCCAGGCCACGAGGCCATGGGCATCTGTCTTCCTCGCACTCCGCCAAAGGCTCCGAAGCCTCCGATACCGCTGAGAAAGCTGGCCTCCTCAGCCTCAGGTTCAGCGCTCTGCTGCCAATCACCTAGAGCGCCCATCGCGAGTCCTCCGACAGTACTAGATTCCGGCGCGTATCTAGGACTAGTTGCACTGGCCGAGTCCCAGGGCCAGGTCCGTGTGTGACCTCTACGACTACGAGTAGATCTACCACTCTCAGTAAATCCTCGCTGGCTGGATACTGCATCACTTCCTTGTTGCGCCTGAGTGACTTCCTGATCGCCTCCGGTCCCGTAGGAAGGCACAGGCAGATCCTCAACTGCGGCACTGTACTCGGATTGTAGCGTTTCCAGTTCTGCTATCAGCAGTAACTTCTCCTTGACATCGCTGGTGATGTTCAATAATTCGTCGATGACTGCCGCAACCTCCTCCATGCAGCCTTGTAGACGCGACTGTTCCGCTTCTACGTCCTCAATCTGCCCATTGTGTGCACCTACCAACAGCGCCCTCCTTGCATTGGTGAAGTGTCCCTTTGCTTGCGCCTTCCGTTTGCGCAACACGACAATGCTCTCATCTCTCGCCACAGAATCCGATTGCTGAGGCGTACCGCCGCGCTGTTGCGACTCTTCTACCGCGTCTTCCGCGCTACTCTCGACTCTTGTGTCAACGTCCTCCATCTTCGATATCGAAACTCACTACAACTGTCGACTCACTTTGACACTACTGGAAAACCATCCTCTGCTACCATGCGACCATGTTATGGAGGATCACGAGATCCGCCGAATCCGCTATCGGCAATCCACAACAACAAGGCCTCGGAGTGATGGAGAACGCCCCTTCTATTCAGTTTCGAACTGCTAATAATGTCCCTGTAGACACTCATACAACACACGCCTTTCGATAGGTGGTGTTCTTCGATCTTTTCACACAAGTACAAGAAAATAACGTAACACCGACTCTAGCAACAACTGCAAGAATCTGAATGCTTCATCGCATCATCATCTGATGGAATAATGGGAGCGCAGCGATTCTTATGGTAGGTTGAAAGCACACAGCCAGCACATCAGGAGCCAAACACAGACGAAAGGAAACAATTGGAATAAAATACAGTGAACAATTCCGCTGCACGGTTAACAAAGAAAAACCGCAGATAACCGCTCAGACAATCACCGGGTGGTCGCCGTCTGAGGCACGTCAATGCACAAAGGTAAAAACGGCCAATATTGCAGAAGTATTCAATATGGCAGGAAACTACTACTAACCAACTCTCCGTCCGTGTCCAAACACCTACATTTAGAAGCTACCTGGAATACTGTGGCTGTGCTATTATTAGAATACATACTGAATGACAATGCACAACAGAAACTAGCAGTGTCCTCCTGAACATCAAGAGAAAGTAAAACCGAGCAGAAAGGAAACAAAAACGGAGAGAAACAGAAAAGGAATATGGGCTGGGTGAATTCATGAACCATTACTAGAGTGGGGCAATACATGAACAGAAGGGGCACGTCCGTCGATATTCATGTTTAAAAACTCCATGCCTTATTTTATTTTATACATACATGTAAGAGATAAGACCAAGGAACTACAAGTTAACTTACGCTATACTGTCCATTAACACCACCCGTTACTAAACAATCAGCTCATGCAATAACATTGGACGACACTGACCGACGGTTCTGAGTCTACTGATGTTCTGCAACAAACTGGCCTACAGCTCTAGCACATATTGGATGCGCAGTCCAACAGCCTTTCAACTTGGAAGGTTTTAAGTTATAGAAATAACATAAGGAGGGGAAGGTGAGCGCAGTTTTATTTTAATTTTATTATGATGGCAATGAACAGATTCAGCTGAATCGACATGTTAAAGTTTTTAAACATTCCAAGCCCTACATGCATGCACATGCATGCAGACTACATGTGACCGCCTGGAACATCTCTGTTATACATTACAATGACGTACTAGGCATAACATGTCCACAGCTATGTACTAAATTGTTAGATTGACAGCATGAAATCTAATACTGTTATTTTTTTAAACCAGTGTTAGGTTATATCATAGTCATGTACTTGTACATGTAAGTTTTCCTCCTGGGGTAAAGGGCCTATTTTATTTGCAAGATAAAGTCTATACACACGTACATGTACATGTAAAAAACAGAGACACCATGAAAAATAAAATTCACACACACATGCCTACACATACATGTACATTCACATGTAAAAGACAAACACATAACGTAATGTAATAACTCATGCTTGCATAAGCACATAATCACACATGTAAACACACATGCACGCACGCATGCACGGACACATGCACGCACTCCAATCATCCACTGGCTTGTTGCTGTTTGTATTCTTGTGCATACCTTCTTGTCCACTCCTTTGCTGCTTGGGCAAACAAATCAGGATCAATCTGGTGCCCGTTTCCAACTTCTCCAGTTGAGTGTGAGGGACATGAGTACGGATCATTCAATAAATTTTGAATCGTTTCAAATAAGCGAATGATACCTTTATGCCAAGGGCCCGAATTATCAGCATCAACATTCCTCAACAAACACCACTCGCATATCTTGCTATGTCGCTTGATGATCGGATGGTAGATCTTAGTGATGAAAGTCACGTCGGGCCACACAAAGGGATTCTCTTCTTTGCATTTGAGCGTTATGTCAAAGACACCACCTTCATACGGGCTACCTTTCGGTCCAAAGACAGTAGCTTCCCAGAAAAGGAAATCATCGTCATGATTTGCTTTGATGTAGCATCCATCTGGTGGATTCCTTTCAAGCCTCTCAAACTCATTTCTGATGTCCGCCTTCCTTACCAATACCAAGGCTCGATCATAAATTTCGTCTTCAGTTTCTGCACTAATCCATGCTCCATCCGCCATGTCTAACCCGTCTTGACGCCGTCTACGTGTGCACGAAGATAGACACCACCTGTATCAACACCTTATTCTCCTAGCCAGCAGAGTAACCACTCTGGTAATGCTGCGAAAGAAATTGGCGAGTATCATTAGTACCTGATGGTGGTAATGACTCGGTAATGCAGTGATCCTGGCGACGCGGCGACTAATAGTAACAATGACAAAACACAAGAGAGGAGGATGTACTGGAACTGGAAGTACGTGTAACGGCGAATTTTCCAGTGTTCAAACAATTGTACTTGTTTGCAGGTATGTGCTGTGGGATTGATTCGACTAGTAGTAGTACTAGTACTAGTACTCAGTACTAGTAGTAGTAGTAGTAGAACGTGTAGTAGATGCCATGTCATGGCCGTTCCACCAGGGTTACAACGTACAATGACATGATGTACTCCACTAGTAGTAGTCTGTAAGTAAAAAGTAAATTATCGTATCCGTTCCCGAAGGGAACTCACGACGGCCGCTAACACCCGATAAACCCTAGCGGCAGATGCAGCGCCTAACGGTGGGGGTGAGTGGGTAAGTCTCACAACCACTGGCACAAGTGCCGAAAGCGACCCCATTAGCTGCATCCATGTACCCCTTGTGCCTGGCCACAAGTTCCCAGTTGACTGTGGGTAGCAGCACGGCTGGAAAAACCGCTCCCAGGCAGGACTTGAACCAGGTACCTCTCGTATCTCAATCATGGTCTTTGACCAACCCACTGTGCCTGCCTGGTTGTAGTGGTAGGCAAAGACTTCGAGCACGTGCACGCAGCGCTTCCAAACACACGTAGATCTACGTGGCGCTGATGAAAAAGGGATGCAATCAGATGCTGACTGAAGGCGCAGGCCACATCAGTGTACGTCGTGTTCAACGGATATGGCGGCGTGGTGTGACTGGCTGTGTGCGACGGGCTGGCAGGGCAATGATTGCCTCAGGGCCCTCTTAGTCTTGCAGGAGTCTTGGCAACTGAGTCTTGGTCTGCCGCGTAGGCCAGTTCGCCAGTTTTGTGATGCATGCATCACAAAACAAAGATACTGCGCATGCGGCTGACTGTACTTGTGACGTGACGGGGAACGGACAACGAAGCGAACTGGCCTACGCGGCAGACCAAGACTCAGTTGCCAAGACTCTGGCAAGAGGCCCCTAGGCAATCACTGTCCTGCCAGCCCGTCGCACACAGTCAGTCACACCACGCCGCCATATCCGTTGAACACGTACACTGATGTGGCCTGCGCCTTCAGTCAGCATCTGATTACATCCCTTTTTCATCAGCTGATTGCAAGCGCCACGTACCATGGTGACGTGTGTTTGGAAGCGCTGCGTGCACGTGCTTGGAGTCTTTGCCTACTACTAGTACAGACAGTACTTGTGTAGTACATCATGTCATTGTACGTAGTAAACGTGGCGGAACGGCCATGCCACCCAGCATCTACTACACGTACTACTGTAGTCGAATTAATCCCACAGCACATACCTGCAAACAAGTACAATTATTTGAACACTGGAAAATTCGCTGTTACACGTACTTCCAGTTCCAGTACATCCTCCTCTCTTGTGTTTTGTCATTGGTACTATTAGTCGCCGCGTCGCCAGGATCACTGCATTACCGAGTCATTACCAGTATTGAGTTCGAAACAAGACGACTGACAACGGGAACAAGTTAGTGGGAACGACATTTATTATAGACGACGAGACAAGAGACCAAGACTAACGAAACGACTACATGGTGATTATTGACGAGTGAGAAAAGAGAGAGAGAGAGAGATCAAGTCTGAACGGCAAGATAAAGGGCCTGGGTAGCTATGGCAAATATGGGCGCGCAAGTAGCTACCCAGGCCAACGGAACAGAAGGAGACAAAAGGTGAGTACGTAAGTGCATGCAGGCCAGCTAGAAAAGGTACGGGAGGAGGTACCTAACATACAACCCCTCCATGAAAAAAATCCCGCGTCCTCGCGGAGAGAAAAGAAAGAGAGAAAAAGATTTAAAAAAATGAACTGGAGGAGAAAACACATACACACACACATACTGCACGCGCGCATGGATCTCACGAAAGTGTGTACTAAAAATGCACTCGTACACATCATTCCTGTACTACTTATTGTGTGTAATAACTATTGGAGTTTGACGAGGAACGTGAATTACTAGTATTTTTGCACGGCTAATACAGCCTAGTTACACTTTTGCTAAACATCCAAAAATTAGAGCGTGGCTCACCACTGTACCTCCTCCCGTACCTTTTCTAGCTGGCCTGCACGCACTTACGTACTCACCTTTTGTCTCCTTTTGTTCGTTGGCCTGGGTAGCTAATTGCGCGCCCATATTTGCCATAGCTACCCAGGCCCTTTATCTTGCCGTTCAGACTTGATCTCTCTCTCTCTCTCTCTCTTTTCTCACTCGTCAATAATCACCATGTAGTCGTTTGGTTCGTCTTGGTCTCTTGTCTCGTCGTCTATAATAAATGTCGTTCCCACTAACTTGTTCCCGTTGTCAGTCGTTCTGTTTCGAACTCAACATTGGCGCCCGATTATTGATCGACCCACGACCCTGAGATCATCCCATGCCCAGCCGTCCTCAACCACCATTCGTCTCGTCTATGTCAACCTCGTCTCGTCCATGTCAGTCTCGTCTCTCCTACGCCAACCTCGTCTCGTCTCTATCAACCTCGTCTCTCCTACGCCAACCTTACCTCGTCTATTCTCGTTCAAGCCATGCAGGTCAGCTACCTTTCTCTCTTTCTTTTTTTGTATGCTTCTTCGTCAAATTTATTTTCGTGAATTTTTTTGTAGTGTGTGCGCGCGCGTGTGTTCGCAAAACATAACCAAGTTAGGGGTCCGATCATGGTGAGTAGGCACCGGCGGATTATGCCAGCATAATTATTGGCATAATTTGGTGGTTGAAAATTTGGAGCACAATTTGGCATCCTCTCGGAGGTAGGAGTAACTACACGATTATACCACAGTTCTAGTAGGTCTAAGGCTATACAATTGTGTAGATCTACAATGCACCTGATCAGTGCTGGTGGTCTGCATGGTAAAGGGATCGGAGGTCATGCAGATAGTGTTTTCAATGAAAAGCAGGGTAGAAATCATGGCAATACAGTATTGTATCCTCGAACTCGTCTTCTTCAAAGTTCTTTCTCACACGGACACAGAACATGTAGCAGAAGATGCGAGTGAATCAGCCTTCATCAGGTATCCCGGGGCGGACGAGATAGTGGCGGGTAGTCCGCAAAACTCCGTGTACTACAGTACATGTACATTACATTCATTTTGTACATTATGCAGGTTACGAAGTCATGACCTCTGGATTTTAGCAGCCATGATATGTCTGCAGGCTATGGATATTTCTCTAAATTGATATATAGTTGATGTTCGGTGATGATGGAAGGAGAGGTGGAGCTACGGGAGAGACGAGCTGATTATTCGCAGGGTGAGGGTGACATCGGTTGGACGAGTATGATGTTACGAAGACAGTTGAACATGATAATTTTCAAAGGTAACTCAAACTACTTTGGCAATGAAATAATATTTTTACCGAAGTACAAATAAAAAGAAATCAAGTAATGAATGGAAGAATTCGGATGGTGAGCTAGGTGTCAGGCCGCCGAATGTCTCAGTACTCCTTGTCAGCTTTGTGCCATTTTGTCGCACTAGCTAACTGTATAAGATCTGGTTCGGTCGGTGGACAGTTGTTCATAGCTCGTAACATTTTGTCCTCCTTTTTCACCATGAATAGAAGAAGTAATGTTTTCTCTTTTCCATGTTGATCTCTAACATGCATGGACATCTTGGTATGGGGATACAAATGTATTTTGTTGTACTTACGGCCACTTGCAACTTGCAAGTACGAAAAAAGGCACAATTTTCCAAACTTTGAGGCTCCATAAGTACAACAAAGTGAATATAATTATATCCCCGGGTGCCAAAGCATAATAATTATGAGGATTTTACGAGCATAATGCCAGAATCCATGAAAGCATAATTCCATGATTTCGCGAGCATAATCCGCCGGAGCTAGGCACCGGCGGATTAACTGTTATGCTCGCGAAATCAAGGAATTATGCTTTCATGGATTCTCGCATTATGCTCGTGAAATCCTCATATGGGCCACAACCAGCTAAAACATGTCTTAGGGTGAAAATTTTCAAATTTTGTTTTCCTCCAGAAAACAGTTCTTGGGACCTTACTTGACCTCTTGAAGGTGATACAGGGCAGAAAAGTAGTCTACAAGTGCCCCAAACACCGCTTTCAAAATGTGTACTTTGAAATAAAAATGACAGTATTCGCACAGTCTGACACAAAGCGACAAACTATTACTTGGTGGCTTTTGTGGCGGAGCACAATACAACGGAACTAAAGATGTTGACACCGACTTGAGCATGTCAACGACGTCAGTTCAAAGGCATGGCCCAAGTTCTTCCTGGAAAGCAACACGATGCGCTGGGCGGCGTTGCACTTGCATACTCTTTCGATTCTGGCAGTGACACTTTCGATCGCCGCCTGCGTTTCCCAGACTGCGTCAGACGCCTCATGAGAGCTGAACGCAAGTAACGTCGTAAGGCAGCCGGTTCGCCGCCTAAATGATTATGTACTAGCCCACAACTTGCGCCTCTTCACTACTGGAGACGACGGGGACGATTCAGCTTCGCTGTCGACATCAACATCAATGAGATCCCAACAAATTGTCAGCGTCGCTCTGCAGACCCGCCGCCACGGACTTGCAGACACCTGAACAAACCTGGGCCATGCACAGCGATCGTCTGGCCGTGCGAGCTGCTCTTGTATCACTAGATGCGGACATTGTCAGTCTTTGCTCGCCAGCTACTTGAAGTAGTACGCCAAACAAGTGTTTGAACAAAATTTGAGAAGATGATCACCACATCATGAATCATTTGAATGAAGTGCAGAGTGAACGCGCTCCAAAAAACATTTTTTTCATTTCGTCATTTCCCAACTTTTTTACGAAACCCCAAAGACATGTT